TATGTAAAACATCCCAGTAGTACGACCGAGACGGTCGATAAAAATTCTCCTCATATGGGAAACGAACCCAGGTGTTCTGTGTGCAACGCCGAAGAGACAAAGAGACTATAGACGCCAGTATTAACATTGTTGATAAGCTTCTGTCTTCGTGTTTACCTATGGAGCCATGAGGTCCCCCTGTCGCCCTGTGTAGCTCTGTGATGTGTCCCGCACTGTCCAGCTCGTGCACTGTGATGTCCACCGTTCCGCCGCCACAGTCGACCACCAGGTAGCGAGAGCCTGTGGAGGTCAAACGTCAGAGGTGAGCCGCTAGGCGAAAACACTTAACAAAGGACAAATACGTTAAAGCTATTTTTATTCTTCTAAGTGCGAGATCTGAAACAGAAATCGTCAATCATTGTTCGCCTCTCATTTCTCCCTCCAGGTGTACTTAAAAAAGGACAGAAAAGCACACTATTTTAGTTATCATGATATTTTTCCGACATCCATCTGTACAATATTTCTCTTTATCTAAGTTCAGCAGGTCTAGCTCCGTCTCTTTTGCCATCTATTTTAATTTTTCCAATAAAGGCAATGTGCTCACGTGCTCTAACTCGATTCAAGTGGAAGCTGTACATGTCTTTTTTCGAAATTGGCTTTTATAAGTGACCACCTCACACTGGCTTCCTTCATTGCTACCTCATTTCGTCGTCGGCATTCAACATTGCAATATGTCAAGATTTAGACAAATTATTCATTCATCCAGTGCCAGATCTGCCACAGACTTCGACGATCATGGTTCTCCATTCATTCCTTTGCTCGGATGCTCTTAAAAAAGCTTTGTTTCCCTAATCATTCCCTGTTACCCATTTGTTTGATTCCCTAAGTAGGTTGCTCTGGGCATACCCCTGCCTCGTTTGCCTTCAATTTTGTCAATGAGAGCTAGATGTTCAAGACGATTATGTCTATTCAAGTGTCCCCAAAACTGCATTTGTCGTTTCCTGATTGTTTTCAACAGTAGACGTACCAAGCACTACCTCATTTGATTTCTTTTCCTTCCACGATATTCTCAACCGTCTTCTAAGAGACCACATTTCTGTTACTTCTATTTTATTTTCACCCTCTTTAGTGATTGTCCAGCATTCACAGCCATATAGAAGGGTTGAAAATCCATAGCATTTCAGAACTTTCATTTCGGTAGTCATTGAGACAAATTATACATTTTGTAAAATTAAGATCATGTCCTGCACGAATTACTTATCTACTGAAAACCTTGTATTTTGACAAACGACAATTATGAATGACGGAGACGATTGATTTCTTTTTCTTCCAGTATTATTAACAGTAACAGTCTCCTTAGAAACGTATCTCTAAGATTGCTAATTAACTGATTAAGGAAACGAATACCAGTTCTCGCCATCAAGAAAAATAAAGAGTATAAGAAGTGACCTTGTAACTTTCTGGTACATGTTATGTTCTGTTACGCAATTATGGTTCAATTTATTAATATTTCTTTCACTCATCTGCCACTGCCAAGTGTTTTGATTGAACTTATTTTACAGGATGTCAGGAGAAGTCAACAACTACAGCTGTATAATGTGAGGCTTGAAGACCGGAAACATATTTTTTAAGTTTCAGCCCACCCGCTTTTGCTATTTAAAAAACATCTTTTTCTTTTTTACGTGAAGGCTTTTCATCATTGCGTGTTTCAGAAAAATGAGCTGTGAGCGAGATCAGTGTATACATGCCTATAATTGTGTGCGTGCTTGCGTGTGTGTTTCAACTGGGACAGAAGGACAATGATAGGTAGGCCTATAATTCGTGCTTCTAAGAGGGCACATGACTCTAAAGGGGAGTGTACGTAAACTGGGACTGGAAAAGTTGTGCGATATAGTTTCCCCTTTTCCCCCAAAATAAATAAAAACAAAAAATAACTACAGTAACAAAAAAAAAGCCCCCAAACAAAACAACAGTAAA